CATTCTCAGTACTGCCTGTGGACGGCCTGCTGGTGACCGAGCGGCGAAACCCTTGGTTACGGCGGATTTTGTCGGCGTGTTCGTACCGAAACAAAAAGAAACCGGAAATCGTAGGGAGGGGCACGCGGAGAAAAATAAGAGAATTTCTGGTGAAGGGATGAAGCAGAACAGCGAATATCTCAACGCGGACAGCATTCGGTAGTACATTCGTGGATATTTCGTGCGCGAGGGGCCAGCCTGGAACGACCGACACGCGTCGGGAGAATGCGAGTGATGGTGGGACAACATGGGGATAAATGTTGATGGGGAATTCGAAGAAACTGTGTTACGCCAGCCCGAGGTAAGTTCAACAGCCATGCTCCATGCCGCGAGCCTTCGACCGACAAGCGCGGGAACAATGCCAATAATGGTGGCGATAGCCGGGACACCGGGGGTAAGCTCAGCCACCATGTTTCGTTGATGTTCCGTGTCGCGAGCCTGCGAGGGACACCGAGGAAAGCTGTGATCCAGATGCAGAACCGGGGGTAAGCTCAGCCACAATGTTCCGTTGATGTTCCGCGTTGCGAGGGACACCGAGGAAAGTTGTGATCCAGATGCAGAACCCGATGAACAACCTGGAATTCGTGAGTACGAACTGAGTGGATCGGGCGGGAACATTCTTGTGGCAGAACAGTTTGAGTAAACGAGCCCAAATCATCGAGCCTCCGCACAATGAACGTCCGACGGGAGATTTGGAACATGATAGAACTACGAGAAAATTGGAGGTCATCTGTACGGTGGCATCCGTGAAGGGAACTAAATAGGAGACGGCCCGGGACCAATGGAAGGAGGTGTATCAGCTCCAAACGCGCTGCTAGATGATTCTACTTGTGTGACGGATGCACGAGGTTGCGACATCCGCCACATGAGAGGTTGATTGAAGTGAGCACAGATGACTGTTGTAAGTACTAGATTCACCCAAGTGCGGTAAGCGGTTTATAAGAGCAAGAGGTGGCAGTGCTAATAATGATCCCATCGGTGATTGCACGCCACAAAGGGAAACGGAGTTGAATGAGCACTTAGGACGCGATGGACACTTCAAAAGGAACTAGAGCTGAAAAGAACGTGGTGAGTGAACAAAATAATAGAAAGGAAAGTAACACGCGAGGCGGGGACGGAGTGGCTATTACGTCCGTCACATACCTCCAGATCGACGACCGACGATCTCAAATCAAGAAACCTCCAAGCTCGGGACCATTTTGATGCTTGTCCGAACCGTATTCAGGCTCACTGGAGTCCTTAAAAATCGATTTTCGTCATCTTCCCCAGTCGGGCAACTACGAGCAATGTGACCGCGACGTTCACATTTGAAACATCGCCCGGCTGCAAGCAATCTACGACGCGTAGAGTTGGAAAGCTGGGAGGGCTCCAATACCCATCATCTCCATCGGGTGAGTCGTCCTCATACTCGTTCTCCGAGTCTTCAATGCTTTTGGCCTCGGAATAATTCTCAAAATCTGGATCTGCGCCATGTTCCGAGTCTGAACTGTGGCTTGAGCCCGAACTGTCGGGTCCGCGATCTAACTCGGAATTGGCCGAATTCTCAACACTGGACTGAGTCTTTTAATTCAAAATAAATTCTCCACGCTCAGCACCTTTAATGACGTCTTCCGACGATGAGGTCTCAGGGTCGAGCCCTTGACGATACATTTCCTTCTGCACGTCTACATCGAAGCTGGGGAACAACTTGACAATTTTTTCCTGATCATCTGGGAGACCTATCATGAGGTATAGTTCCTCGAATTCCAAGGCGTGTTCAGGAACCGACTTGTCGTCCTGAAGGCAATTATCCAGCTTTTCATGTTGGTTCATCCAAAAATCAAAGGGAAAACAATATTTTTTGAACAGCTCGGGAAAGAACCATTGCAGCGTCCACGGGTCCAGATCGCGAGAAATTTTACTCCTATGAAATCTCTTTGCATTCCCCGTAACTTGATAAATTATCATCATGACCTGATCATCAACTGAGACTTTATCCATTCGCAGGTATTGTGTAGCGTGATACACAAATCATAAATACGCTGCAGGATCCGGCGATCCATCATACGGTGTACTGTAGGGGCAATCGGTTTCAAAATCATTCTCGTCTTCTTGAAATGACTTCGGGCGCCAACAGACAAAGACTTTGACCGGTGCGGACCAGACACACATGTGCCGCTCCAACACGTTGTTTCTCTTTGAATCGGTCTAACTCCTTCGCTAGATTTTCTATCTGCTCTGAGATAGTCTCGCCAGGTGCACGACTGCTCTTTAGAGTTGCTGGACTCATAACAACGGTACTAGGACATTTTCCCCCTTTTCCGCGCGCGTCTTCAATTGACGAAACACCATCATATCCAGAATTGTGACCAGCGCGCGACATCAAGACATCTTGTGTTTGAACTAAAGTAGCCTCAGGGAACTGTCCCCCGGGCTCAACTCGATGATTCCCAACTGTGGGGCAACTTTCTCCGCGTCGGAGAGCAGTCCCGAATGTGCTCCGTCAGCTGCGGCAACAGCGGGATCCGTGGGTACCTGACCCTGGGTTTTGTGGCGCGGGGCAGTGTGCGACTCCGCTCTTACCTCATCAGAGCGGGGCCTGTGAGACCGTTCTCGGGCTCGGATCGCCGCGCGCGCAAGAGTGTAACATCCGGGTTGGACTCCCGGTGGGGCCGCCTGTATACTTATAGCTTTCCATTCATCCGGTTTCCTTTTGGATTGTCGTATCGCTCTAGACTCTGGTTTTTGTAATTAATCAAACTTTGACCCCCTCATACACACACGGCACGGCGGAGAACTCGTCTCCATCAAGCTATTGAGATGCACAGCATACCAATGGGTGTAGGGCGCGGCTGCGCCATATAACCTGAATAACTGCGTTCCGACGTCACCCAGACTCAGCAGCCTAGCTGTATTGAGCTGTGTCCAGGTCGGCCTAGATGGCTAGGCAAAGTCTGTTTACCCGCCTAGCCAGCGCCCAAGCTGACCTGAACATAGCTCAACACAGCTCACCACAGCTAGACTGAATTTAGGTGGCATCGAAACGCAGTGAATGCTTGGAAGGTTCAGCGGCAGACGGGTTCGACTCAGCACCTGCATAGTGATGGACATTCTGGTACCTGGGTGCCTCTGTCCGTTTTGGGGGTCGATCGGCGCTAGCGATTGAGTCGCAATTTAACATTCGGACGAGGGGGAGCCGCAGGGAGTGAGGACGAGCGAAGGATGTCATTGCCTACATAAGAACACGAGGACGCCTCGAAATGAGAATCCCATCTTCCCAGTTTGGAGACGAACCGGCACCCGGGAGCAAGAGCAAGAGCAAGAGCAAGAGCAAGAGCAAGATCGAGAGCGGGAGTCAGGAGAACGAACACAGCATCGCCGGAGGGTGCCTGGATACTTGATGGAGCAGCGCAGGCCCTAGTGGGTTCGCGGGAGCTGAAGATGGGGGTTGAAGATACGTCTGCGCAGGCCGGGGGATATGCAATGCATATATATCATGGGCGTCCAAGGATAAACGGAGGGAGAGCATGCACGAGCGCGAGAGGGCCGGCGACGACGGAAGTGCGAAGCAAAGAGTGCAGCACTCATTGGAAGTGGTGCAGCGGGCGCGGGAAGCCCACGGGGCGGTGGATCTTCGGCGGGGACGACGCGAATGGGGTGAGCGTGAGGGCGAGGGCGCCGAAGAGGGGACGAGGATTGAGGACGAGGACGAGCGGGACAAATCGACGCAGGGGCAGCGGGCAGGACCAGAGCGGGGATTTGGCGGAGGTCGATTCGGACTTGCGGCCGGAGCGAGAGTGAGCGCGCGGGCAGAGTGCGCGGAAGGGCGGGGAGGGTGCGTGCGCAGGAGCGCACGGCGACAGAGAGAGCGGCGCGGGCGGAGTGTGTCAGAGATGGGGCGGACGGCGGTTGCGCGGTGTCAGTATCACGGGGCCGGCGCAGGATGCGAAGGAGATGGGCGCGGGCGGATCGTGATACGAGGAGCAGAGGGGAGAGACGGAGGGGCGGGCGGGAGCTCACTTCGCCGGGTTATGAACAAGGCATCGGTCAGCGTACAGCAGGCGTCGCGCCACGTGTGCGTGTGCCCCAGCCTAGTGGCAGCAGCGGCAGCGGCAAGGAGGCGAGGAGGCGAGGACGATCGACGGGAGCGAGCGCGAGGAGCTTCATGCGGAGAAAGCATCAATTGGGCCCAACGAGCTGCATGGATCTAGATGGCCGACCGGGAGACTGAGAGCGCGTCCGGGATGACGGGCGTTGAGCAACGAAAAGAGCGAGTCACGCTCGTCACGCTCGCGTGCTGATGTGACCCCCACCCGGCACCGCGGCCCGAGAATTGATCTCAATTCGATCCCTCTTGCCTTGAGTCCTCCAAGCTAGGCTCATGTCAGAAACTCATGGGCGGCGAAGACGAGGTGTGTGGAGGTTCAGCTATGAATTCCTACAAGCAACATGATCGAGCGAGATGGGTCAAAACTCCTACATAAATGGGGCCGGAACCAAAGAAATGGGCGGGTGTGGTGCACTCCCACGGTCGCGCTAGATTTCCGGTGGTAGAGCTCTTGCTGCAGAGCCGGGTTCGACTCCCGGCGCATAAGGAGGATGGTCGGCGACAATTCTTTTTGACCCCCATCGGCTCTTCGTCCGCATTGAGGGTACAGATCCCACACCAAGCAGCGGGTGTGGTGTGCGGCGCACCGCTGCACCATTTTCACGATAGCCGACATTGTTCGCAACAGATCCGGGTTCGACTCCCGGCGCGCGTATAGGGACGATCGAGGAGCATTTCCGCTAGAAAATGTCAACGGGGGAAGTATGGTACGTTCGGTTACGGTAAATAAGTATACAGAGGTACTTGCTCCGAGCTAAGAAGCCAAAAGATGAATGTGGAATATCCCGTCCGACCATCTCCTCTCTATATCCCGTCCGTCCACATGACGTTCTGAAAGATAGGGACCTCAGCAGTGCAGATCTTATCCAATGCAGCGGGTGTGGTGCGCGGTGCACGGCTGCGCCAGGTTAGAGAGCAGTACCAACTTTGCAGCAGATCCGGGTTCGACTCCCGGCGCCCGCCTTGTATGTCGGTAGCGTTTTTCTTCTTTTCATTCGTCTCGGCGGCACGGGAGAGCTGCTGAGGAGTGAGCTGAGCCATCAAGGACAATAGATATCGTTTGCGAGTGCCTCTGCCTGGTAATCGTGCCCGATATTTTCCCACATCTGTCGGTTGGAAAGTGATGGAATCATGTAGGGGTGGTGCGCGACGCACCGCTGCAGCAAGTAAATAGGTGACCCTGTGCAGCAAACCCGGGTTCAGCTCACGAGTCCCGCCACCCGCGTGGCCCGACTCGGTTCGTTTGACATTCTGGTTCTCGCAGGGGAGACTGCAGCGGCATGGCACTGGGAAAGCCAGGATTGAACCTCGAGTATTTAATGCGCTGCGCCGACGCTCCTAATACACACATACGTACTTGGGTCCCGGCCCCAGAGTAGTGGTAACCTCCAGCCGTGAGGCCGAGACTATCCGTCCACGATGTCGTAGAAATGCTCATACCTCCCACGGTGCGAAACGGAAGCGAAGGAGGGAAGTTCAGCAGTACACATATCCGGGTTCGACTCCCGGGCGACCGCATAGGCTCCGCTAAATTAAAAAGGCTGTCTTCATTCAACCTTCGTCTTCGTGTTACCCTATTTCAAAACTCAGCCTTCATCTTGACCCTCCCCCGGTTCCACCCGGCTCCTCAGTTCAATTACATTCCCAAACTCCCCCTTTATCTTTGCATGCAAAATCACTTTTACCTTTCTCTCTGCTAAATTTGGGTGATTCATAGCGACAAACTCGGCCAGCTTATCTACGGCCTAGATCGATATCCCTCTGAGCTGACGGTACCCTCGGGCCAAGTGTTACTTATAATCATCCCTTCGTCTGGTGAGTGAATTTGATATCAGCTCCATTGAGGCTGTGTTTACTCGAAACGAACTATCCTACATCGTAGCAATTTATACACAGCAATCTAGCAGTTGGGTGGATATTTGAAGATTTCGGTGGAGCAGTGGAGGGTATGACATCATTCGGGGTCGGTGCGGGCTTTGTCTGGAGACGAAAGTGGCCAGCAGTCAATCAGGTTGTGTGGTCGAAGACAAACCGCTCCCGATTCTTATATAGATAGATGATGATGTTGAATCAAGAGGTTTCGTGCACAGGTCCAATAAATAAAAAAACATGATCAGAGTACGAGCCGCAGTGGTGTACTCGCGATCACTCGGCTCAAGGTCCAAGGATCCACTAGGTTTAAGCCGCCCAAGAGGTTTCAGATCTGAGTCTCTGGATCTGGCCCACTATCAACAACACAATTATTTGGTCTTTGATTCACCCAAGTAATATCGTCTGAGCACTCCAGCCACAGCTGTTGGTGGGTGAAAATGAGTGTATATCCGCTATTCAGAGCCCGAATTATACTTGAACGAAAATTCCGGCCGCTGTCCGTTGTCTATGGGAGTGGAGACCGTTCTACCTAATTGGGATATAAATCCGAGCTCTCCTTCACTCGGTCCAGTTCCTCCCCGAAAAAAAAAGGCAACTTATAAGATAGTATAGTTTATGTTCCATGGCTGGAAAGACAGTTTTAGAAATCTATTCAGCCCCCATTGCACTCCCCGAGTTCGCATCACATCAAAGCACGTGTTGTTGATGGTGGGGCCAGATCGGAGATCCTGAGATCTGAGAAATCATCAGAAATCATATATAAATAGATTTCGTCAGACACGTAACGAATTAATTTCGACAAAAGTGGCGTAGCCAACCTTTTCTGGCGACGCTGTAAAACGAAACTCCGAACAACTCTCATTCTCCTTTTTTTTACCTCGCATTTGGGGCGCGCTATTTGCGCCTACAAATCGCCGATTCGCGTACCCCGTCATTCCCCCTCTCACCCAGGTCAGTTCAAAATCCCGTTCTGCATATTTCTACCCGATGTCCGCGTTCCTCGGGCCATCAACCTAGGCGCCCACAACGGAATTGCCTGTTTAGATCGCAGGTGGGAACTTGGAAGATGCCACGACACTCCCCACCCGTCCACATCCGTCCGCCCCCTCTAGAGCTCATTCGCCCACGGCGTTCCTCAACTCATGATGGCCATCACAGCGGTCTGGCTGTCCTTCATCCTCGCATGTCCCAGCCTCGCTGTGTTAACGAATCACACGATCGACGGTGCGGCTGCGCTCGTGCGCTACACGCCGTCGCGAGGGCGCTTGCTCATAGGATCCAAGGAGGTCACACAGGTGGTGGAGATGAATTTCACCGGTGCGTTCTTGAACCATACTGATGTTACTCGCGCCTCACCCACCCCCACAGGTTCTGCGATTTACATATTTCTAGCAGCAAACGGAGCACCTCCACCATCCCGCCAGAGATGTACGTTCACATTGGATGACCTCGATGTCGGACCATCCCTCCCAGAGGAGTGGCCCGAATGGCCAAAGCGTTACGCCGCCTTTGCATACTCAAATGACTCGCTCCTGGACGGCCCACACACGTTCCACATGCGCCTGTTGGGAAATTCCCGGCTCAGCTTCGCCTATGCAATCTTCAGGTCCGTTTTTAATCGAATCTCTCATCGTTATCAATGTTGACACTAGGGTGAAGCTCGAACGACCCGGAATCTGGTCGTAGCCCGAGTCTTTCCACATCAGCAACGAACCGCATACGGAGACATTATTCACGCACACTGGAAAAACGGAAGTTGTCCGTCCCAGCCATCGCCGGCGGCGCTGTGGCGGGTGTTGCCGTCCTCCTCGTGCTAATTTCGATTCTGATGCTACTGCGGCGCCCTCGCAACGGCGACAGCACCCGCACCAGCTGGACCAACGTCGATCCGGCGCCCGTGCCGCTCCTCAGCGGTAGGGGGTGGACGCAGCCCTCCTTCCCGGAGGGCGTGAACGACCCTGACCACCACACCGCCGGGCTTGTGCTTGAGTTACGCATGCTCCGCGAGCAGGTGGAGCGCCTCGAAGCAGAGCGCCGGGAGGGGAGCGGCAGCGCGGGGTCGGAGACTGCCTCGCTGACGCTGTCGCGCTCGTTCTCGACCATGAAGCGCGAACAGACGCGGGTGGTGCAGGCGCATCAGTACGGATACGGCGTGACGGACTCGCTGGTGCACACGGACAGTGGGCTACGGTTGACTGCAGGGCGGGAGGTGCACGAGGTGCCGCCGACATACGTGCCGGAGTGATTTAGTACTGGGGTAGAGGGCTGGTGGGATAGATAGCCACGCCAGTACGATGAATCGGAAATTTTTGTCGCGTTAATATTCAAACGACGGGTATTGCGGTTGATACATGTAGGATATGCGGCCTGTGCAAGAGCTACGCGAGGTAAGCAAGTTGTGACGATGTTTTTGTCCGTGGAAACCCCCGTTGTAAGGCTGGGCGAGGAGATACTTAGCTGTAAATCGAGGATAAGTGCGGGGATCTTTCGAAAATATATATGCGCACCTTTGATTCGTGAGAACGGCCCAGGGCGGACCCAACTGTACAGGCCTTCCCATTGCTGTTTGAGCAGCTTCATGGACGTAGACATGTCCTTGTCGGTCTGCGAGAGATGCACAAGACTGCCATTGCTATTGGGCACGCCATTGACGATGCTTTCCTGAGTAGCTCCCAGATCAAGCCAGTGCGTGCATGCACCGTAAAATGCCACGGGAAAAATGGACGACAGCCCAATTTCTCTCGCCGGAGTAACATCATTGAATGCGAGGCCTAGATACAGAAGAATTGTGGCCGGAAGGGACTTCCCCTGCGAAAATGCTGCGAAAGTAACAGGAAATGCGTGTTCGAGCCTCGTCACTGCGCCATCGCGGAGCTGCGCGAAGTCGTATTTCTTGCCGAGCCGGAGCATCGCCGCCAAGACCGCAAACGATTCGTCTCCGTCTTGTAAAACGTGCTATATAACCAGCTTCAATCGTGATTAATGAAGGTGGCACACCGATTGCCTCGAGGACAAGTTCCACATCCTGCGCCATGTCGTCATACAACTGCACGAGGGGAAAGCTCCTTCTCGATGGCCAGAGCCCGGTCAATTTACGCCGGCGCTCCAGGGGAGCCGAATTAAGCCTGCTATTATCAGTGAGGAAAAGAAGAGGATCTACTCACGGAGGCGCCGTCATCGTCTGCCATGGTTCCGTGGCTGCGCTTTGCACCGTTCGCGGGTTGAGCGGGATTCGGGGAGTGCTGGGCCATGGCGTTCATCATATATTGGCCATCAGAGTCAACGGGGGTGCTTGCGCGAAAGGACATTTTGAAGGAGAGTCGAGCGCTCATTTGCGCGCTGTTGTAGCTTTTGCCGCTTCCTACTTGGAAGCCGGGAGCGATAGTCTCCAGGGGCAGACAAGTCAAATAAACTGAAATGCGACATAACTGGCGTCGGTTTTTGGGAGTTGACAACAAGTGAATCCTCGAGCCGCCCGAAATGAGGATCCCAAAGTGGTAACGAACCGCACGCAAGAGCGAAAGCAAGAGCAAGAGGTACCAGCGCGGAAGGAGAGCATACGTAGCAGCGATGGATTACGTTGCACAACATCAGCGATGAATTCCGCGACATGAGTGCGGGTATGCGATGCGTGGATATTCAACGAAGCAGAGCAGATCTATGCGAGGGTGCGGGAGCCGGGAATGCGGGGGTAAGATATGCGTGCGCAAGCGGGGGATGGATCAAGGCACGGCGCGCGCAGAAAGGCTGACCCATTTGAGCTGGAGGACGGAGCGCCAGTGATATTAGACGTGGCGGCGTCTGATGTAATGGCGCGCAGTAACGATGACGAGGAGCGCAGTAACGATGACGAGGAACGCAAGTATTAGGAAAGTAGTCAGAAGGATTGGATCGACGGCATGGGGCTGACCGTAACGAGGACGATGGCGCTGAGGATGCAGCTCGTATTGGTATTGAGACTGAGGGGATGAGAAGAGGCAGGACGCGGACAGAGCGCCATTAGTATTAAGAAGCTGGGGCAGAACACGCAGGAGGAATGGGCGCGCAGAAGGAAAATGTACAGGCGGAGGCGGAGGGCCGAGGAGCATCGC